CTTGTTGTTAAAAACCAAATGACGACACTTTTGACAGTATTGATTTATGTCCCACCGAATATTCTCAAGAAACGTGAGATAGGATGACATAGGGGAAAGTGGGGAAGGTTGGGACACTTTTTTTCTTTTTCATATTTTGAGCCCTTTATTCTGCACATTCATATGACTTTGCGGGATTAATGCAGAGAGGGGTAAATGTAGTTTTTATTCAGCGACTAAGAAATTCCCTTGCGACACACATCTTACCACCGAAATGCTTTGAAAAAAGTTTGTCAAGTGTCCCACTGTACCCCACTTGTGGGGCACATTTGGACAGACCCTGGGGCACAATGGGTCATTCTGTTAAAATTCAACGAAGTATGCCCTTAAAAATAAGCAATCAATCAGCATAATCGTCTAAAGAACAGGGAGACCTCAAATTTGAAGATTTAAGATTTTTAAAATCAATGTTGAACCGAAATATTTCAGATATTTCACCAAAAAATTCGCTTACAAATTAAATTATTTTCTAATCCGAATCTAAATCTGGAAATATTTTTGATTCTCGAATATATTTCATATTGGACCATGAGTCGAAAGATACCATAATGTTACATAAAAAATATAACGCATCTCTAGGTCTCTAAGCACTTGTTGTATCAAACACTGTCAAATTGTGCCATGTAGGGCATGTCCCACTGAACCCCGGTCCATTGTTCCCCATAATCAATAAATATCTTCAGATCATCCCACGGCGAAATTCGGAAGGCCCATCCACTCGCCAACGTTATAAATATTTTACATTTGACTATAGCTGAATGATATCAGACGGTGGTTTGTCACGTTGAAAAGGCTAAGTTAGAAAAAAGAAAAAACTGGAACGGTGAAATTTTAGTTTCAACCCCCCAAAACCAATTTCACCTCATAGCTTGCGTCGCACTACCCGTCCGCTGTCCGTTTGCGGGGACGTTGTAACTCACCGAAGGGCGGATTGAAACATCAAACCGCGGACCGGATTCCGAATATAGTATTGGTGTGAGAGCTGATTATCCACTGTGCCCCATGTCCCAACGTGCCCCACCTTCCCCTACGTGATTTTCGTATAACAACACAACCCCGAATCAATCACAAATCAAGCATGGATAATAATTGTATTGTACTGTTACGGTAGAATTTAACGTTGGGTATACTTGCAACGTGATCATTTGGCAATTTGTTCAATCTCATTTCTCAACATTTTAATTGATCGATGGTTCGTAAATGGCTGTGCGAAGTCTATTAATCTAAATGGGTTATAATTTCCTTATATCGGCTTATTTCAGTCAAATGTTTGACTTCAATAAATTCTGTAATGAGTGTCTTAGACTTTAGAGTTTGGTAATTTACCAGCCATGATTCGGGTATACTCTGATGAAGACGGGACTGATTCCGGCCTGTAAATGCGATCTTGCTTTACACATATATAACAGTGTTGAAAATTCCTAATTTACCCTAATTCACTAAAAAGGCTGGCTTCCTACTTTTTTACCACATTGTACATTTTTATACCTGAAATATTGTTCAGTTCTTTTGTTCTTTTGTACATGTCTCCAATTAGTATTATTAAACCTCTATTGTTGAATTACAAACTTGAAATTACTATACATTACATGCTAAATTTGTTACAAATGGTTTTATTATATAATGTTCCTCTTTCACCGAGAAAGACCTATACAGCAGTGAGATACATGCTTAAAAGTGAGCTTATTTCGAGAATTTTATCGTTTGCTCGCGCTCAAAACTCATTACATAAAATTAGGAAAATTATTTTGTATAGTCGGGTTGGAAATCACTGAATTCTATTTCTTGACCATACTTTTATTTAAACAGTAATAATTCGTGGTATATCTCGTATTAAATTTATTAACATTGTCTAAATATAGAAGTCATTGTCATTACGCAAGCTAACATAAGGTTTTTGTATGCCAGAAATGTTATACATATAGGTGTATCAAGCATTTCCTATAGGTAAAATACTACCCTAAAGCGCGTATTATTTGTCGCCGACGCTCGATTCAAATCTGACGACGCTTGGTGAAAGGAAGACCAATCAAAACATCCTTTTCATTGAATTTACATTACTGAAAGCGCCTTCGAACCAGAACATCAATTATTCATCGAGATGGCATTCGTGGGGAAAGCTCTGAAGTTTCAAAAATATTTATAAATTATTGTTCATCCGTGTTGAAATAGCGTTGTCTTGCAGCCAATAACATGATTATCGGACTCATCTCTGAGATGTGATTTACACAAATATTTGTTAAATCAAACAATTTTAAATTTATTTCACTCTGACTTCACGTTGTGACCCTTACGTTATGAGCGCAATTCAATCGTGCGGATGAATGAATTCATTTATGGCCTTGTAAAGAGTGAAGTGAATTCAGAAACCGGACTTTATGAAATTTCCCCTTTGAAATGTCATAAACTATCATTTTTTAGCTGATAAAATGCTTGAAACATAAAACTTGCTTGAAATCTGATACGTTCGACTGCTTCTACCGTTGTCCGTTGATTCATAAAGTATTGCATTGTCTCTAGTTTCAAAAATGTCCACATATGATTGTAGTTATTTATCATAGAAAATAAACATTATTATGCCCTAGATTTTGACCACTTATGTATAGCATTTTATCATTACACGTCCCATTAACCGTCCAAAATGGGATAATTATGTCATTATATACACTAAGCGTCTCTGTATATCCATCCTATTTGGAAGCACGGGTATGACGATTTTATCTGTTATATTGATATTCAACGTTGCTCTAATCCAGATTCCAGACGATATAATTTAATCGTCTCATCAACCTTTTTGCTCGCTGAATCGAAAATACCAACGTCGTTGTACCGATGTTGTTTTTACATGGTTTATACGAGTATATCACTAAGTTTGGTGGTTTTGTCACATACACATGACCTCATTCCATTTGATCACAGAACCTAACCATATTTACTCAAGTTTATTGTGGTGAAATGTAGAATCGAATCCAATACTTGTATTATAGAGTCCGACACAGTATATTATATAGTGTTAATTGACATTTGTAGTACATGGTCGAAGATTGATTGAACTGGCGCCATATTGTGTTCGCACTTATCCACAACGAAATGTAGATATTTTAGTATTGATGTTCCAACTTTTATCCCTCCTCTACGACCCACTAAGGTGTACATAAGAAATATATGTAATGGTAAAGCCTAACCTGAACGGTTTTAGTCTTTACAATCTCAATATGTATGAAAATTTGAGATACTAACTAACTATGTAGCCTAGAGTCTCGTACAAACCAAGTTTGAACGAAGTATAAAATTCAGCTAAATCTGGTTTAAATTTCTTGTACGGCGAGCATTAATAAACCAAGCATTCAGATTATGGAGCGTACAAACTAATCTTTGTAATGGAATATTTTAGTACACATAATCCAGGAAAAAATTTGTTCATTTGTTCTTATACAACGAAACATTTTTACTTTAAATCTAGACCAATTCTTTGTATATGCCTTATGAAGCAAATCCGCAAAGCGTTGTTTGTCATGCTAAGGGACAAAAATGGAGGTCTTTTGCGAAACGTATCAATAAAGTAAACAATACTGGACAAAACAAAACTTGTGGACATAAAAACCATGTTGAGATGTCATGAAATCGTGAAATTAGTTTCTTGATTCTTTGATATAGTTTGGAAACTTCACGAGAATACGGGTCTTAAAACGGCATCTAGGGAGTATTAGCTACAACGTCATATCTCCAATTTTGTTCTATAATGAATATGCAAATTAGGTAAAACATGATATTCAGTTTGACCTAATTTTCTGCACAGCCAGGCAGCATGTCTTGGAATCTTAAATACCTATAATGTGCATTCAACAAGAACTTAAGTTGTGAATACGTTGACAGCACTCAAAATTCATAGGCAAATTTTTTTTTATCATAATTGTTTACAATTTTAGAACCTTTATTGAATACAATTTTTCGTGTCTGTTTCACATTTCCTAAATATTTCTGAATTAGAAATGATTGGTATTTTTAGTGTCGAGTATTTTCGTAATATTAAAAATGCATAAGATTGATAAACTCGAGCAGCTTTTTAGACTAAATTATAGAAATCAATAATTGTTCGAAATCTGAGTGACGGCTTATTTTTTATAGTTACGTATTCTTAATTAAGCCTTATATAATATTATCGATGTTTGAAACTTTGTAATTTGACACTTCATCTCCGCACTTTCTCATTTACTGCCCATTTCGCACAAACCATAGCAGTTTTATATATATTTCTACGTTTTACATTCAATATTCAAATCTTTTCAATTTGGCATATGACATTCCTGCACGGGCGAAATGCTAAACTAATAGAACTAATAAACTAATAACTAAACTAAACTAAGTATTGAGGCGAGATATTTATTTCGCGATCCAAACCTATAATGTTTCCAACGTCGGACCTTCGTAATTGCTCCTGGCACTATTTGTCTAAATCTGTTCTTCCAGTCGTCCTTCATTAACGTTATTATTTTTTTATTTCTGTACCAAAATTTGATTGGACATACTTATCGTGTATATCCCTCTCATGGACATAAAATCCAACCCGCTGTCTGTATAGCAACCCAATGAATTGCCTCTCTATGAAGCAGACTTTTCGGTACTCCCGTAGTGTGTGTACCAGGTTAGGGTTAGGCCATAATTTTATTCTGGTTTTCCTTACTTTATTTCTATTACGAGTTCGGGGACTGTCTGTGTTACCCAAGTAAATATACCCCCTGCTCATAGGTTTCAGTCTCTTTACACGACTTGATGTAAAGTAAGAGAACAAAATTAGTTACCTTTATATTGGTACATACACTTCTGGAGCGCCGACTTTTCAAATGACGGTTGGGGACATATATTCACCATGAGGTGTTTTGATTTACCATGTCTACTATACCTCAAATCAATGCGTTGTTGCAACAATATAATTAAAAATGATAATATTTTAAATTAAGATGCCGAAGGTGATGAAGTTGAGTACGGTCCAATACGTTACGTTCCACATAGTTTGAGTTCCCTTACTCAAACAACTAAATTTACTAAAGAAGAGCTCAAGTCGATGTATCGGACATTTAAAAATGTAAGTACCGTATTATAGTATTTTCAATTCAAAAAGAGAATGAATAAATTTTGGTTATTTTTAGTAGCAAAAAGCATGGTGAGATTTTAAGAAAATGAACAAATTTGTGCGGTTGAGATATTAAAGATCTTTACTTCTGAAACATTTGTGAAATATATGTAATTCATTTCAGTAATGTGCTGCTGAGTGACTGAGTAAAATACTGCGTGCTGAATTTACAAATGAAAAATCCAAAATTAGCATTAATTACATGAAATTTCAGACACAAATATTTAAGTCGCTCAACTTTTTATGTTCCTTTTCAGGAATGTCCATCGGGTGTGGTATACGAAGATACTTTTAAGTCTATTTATTCGCAATTTTTTCCTTCTGGAGGTGAGAATGTTTTACTGTGTTAAATTGATATATTTTCTCGTTTAAGTACTTTTATTTTTACAAGAGATTTATCTTAGTTCTGTTTATTGCAAAGATATGAAACATCACAAGAAAATTTATTAAATATTAATAAGGCAGAATAATGATTTTGAAGAGAATGAAGATCTCATTTCTTTAGATCTCTATCTTTCCCATATTCGATGCACTGTGATTCAATTTACTATTATGAAACAACCAGAACAAACTCAACCAAGATTACCATGAATATTTTGGGACATAAGACCTTTTGTGCTATATAATGGTCATGGATGATATTTTTAATTGACCAGTAATTATATAGATATTACCGTCCTTCCAGTATAATATTGATTTTAATTAGAACATATTGTATTCGAAATGTACTTATAAATATATTTGTATTTTGTTGTGTATCTATAAACATCTGCATCACGTAACTCGTTATTTTGGTCAATTAACACATTTGTAAAAGTGTTTACTCCCATATTTTCACAGATTCCAATATGTATGCGCATTATCTGTTCAACGCTTTTGATGACAATCAAGAAGGTTATATTTGTTTCGAGGTAAGAATTGCTAGAGAAACTGGTTTCACAAGATCCTGTTTGGAATGATCAATAAAATCCTTTTTATGGGCATGTCATGCTATTGAAATATAGCCTTAGCCTAGATAGAAATCAGGACGGGCAATTCGTTTTCTAGCATTTAGACGTGTTTAGTCTTTAAATGTGAATAGCTCATTGTAGCCTCAAAAGAGTGCAATTTCAAACGTTTCTCAGAAATTCACCACTTCTCATCGACTTTGCACTTCATATTTTCTTTATAGAAATCTGACATTGATATTTTTATTTTTAAGAATACAACTTGAATACATATTGTTAATAGTTCTTCCCCACTCCGGTGGCTGTACCAGTAGAATTGCGCAAAAGTTCGGTATACCGAATTTCTGCTTAAACCCATAGTATATACAGCTTGAAAACTTTTAATTTGCAACTTTCCTCGTAGATAAATCTCTACTTTTGAGTGAGTGCAAATGGCCCTGACTTGAGAAATTCTAGTAAAATGATGAAAAACCAGTACATGTGATATAAATATATAGTTTTCAGTATAGAAAAATAAAACGAATTATATAGAAAATAGAATAGAAAAATAAGCAATGCCTTATAAAAGTATTTGGACATCCATCGATAAATGACTTGTTTAAAAATGAAGCAAATGTTCTCATATTCTTTATATAAATTATTAAAATCAGCAAAGCGCAAAAAATTTAGTTTAGGTCTATGTTAGTTGATTTGAAATGGAAATCAATACTCAAATGTAAATGGCTGTAACACTTGAATGTACAGATATATAAACACGTAGCCTACTTTTGAACATCTTCAATTTCCATTTCCTTCAAAATAGACTTATAGATGTTATATATATTTAGTGTTTGCGAAACGTTGATTTCAATATTCCTATTTTCCTTTTAAAAATCCTTGACCGTAAAAATTTACACTCTTACTACAAATTACTCCAATTTTCACCCTGCATTTTTTACCTACATTTTCAGCCAATTTGCAGAATTTAGACAGATTGCATGATTCCTTTCTGTAGTATAATTATTACAAACTTAAAACTCATCACTGCAAGACGCCATTATATTTACTGTCATACACACTTTCTAAGTTTTTCAGATATTAAAGTGACTAATACGTTAAATTTTTCATAATTATATTCGAAGTTTTTCGAAGCTAAGGGTCAGATTTTCCAATTATTAGACAAACTATCTCTTTCAATAAAAATGCAAAACGTGTTGCCATTACTTCATTTTGTGAAATGGTAGCCAACAAGAAAAATCTAGTTGGATTATTATTTGTCGTTACTACATAATGATTTTAAAACTGCAAACTTTTTCCTATGTTATTCTCTTTTTTTGTGAGCAATTCGTAAATACCGATTGAGTCAAAATTTGGTAATCAAGTTATATAAAACTGGGTAATATCTTGACCATATACGATAAGAATTAGGTAAGTGAATAAAGTAACGTGGGTACGCACATGACAAGAACAACCTATATTGTTTTCAGGATTTTGTGATGTCTCTATCTTCTCTTCTCCGTGGAAAGTTTGAAGAAAAATTACAATGGATTTTCAAACTTTATGATATCAATCATGACGGATTTATCACGAAAGAGGTATAAGTATAATTTATACTCGTGATTATCAGCCTGTGACAAAGCCACAATAAAATGAGCCATTATATTGGAATTTTAAAGTTCTAAATCTTAATTCTGCTTTTCCAGAAAATCAACTGTCGCAGTCGCAGGAATTATGTACCTTAGATTTAGAATTTGTTTCATGATCTGGGTAGCTTCTAAAATGTAAGAGCTTACTTTATCCAAGGAAAAATATTAGTATTCTTATTGGCGCAAATCTGTATCTTAATTTTTATAGCTTCATGTACGTCACCCGTAATATTTCGCATTCACATCGAATGAACTTTATTATTTCCGTTCGCAATGTATTGTTATGAATGACGCACATGTGTATTATCGACTGCCATTTTTTGCCACGCTCCTGTAAATTATAATAATAGTAATATTTAATTAAAGTTAAACTTAGAAATGACTTCGTCTTTGCTCTGACCCTAGAAAAGCTTCTAATATTTTGCATTTATTTGGTCATCATCCATGCGTGACTTTGTTTTATCTTTTTATGTCTAACTTGAAATTTGAAAATTCGGTAAGAAAATAAAAAAAAACACGATTGCAGAGTCATTGGCATATCTTATTTATTTTTTGTTCGAATATCAAATACTGAAACAGTTTCTCCGATGAAATGACACGTTTCGCCTCCCAGACGTTTATCGATTTTCTAAAATCACAAAAAATTACGTTAGGAGCAAGTCAGCCGCGAAATAAGTGAATTATTTTTCACTAAACGGATGTAAGCGCTCTTTTAATGACGCCAAATATTTTCATTTCGTTAGTAAATAAAAAAATCAAATTACCTGTTTCTGTTGTCAAACATTTGTTTTATCGTTGAATATCTGATTCGACATAACAGTGAATTTTAGACATAATGGATTTTCAACATTTGAAACGAGAATTTTTATGGAAAGCGGTGTTTTTATATACTTGTCGTGTATTTTGAAATATTTATTCGATCGAGATTGATATTGCTCGAAATATTACCAACATGTCATTTACATACTTCTCATGAAATTTGTATTTTCAGTTAGAGCGGTATTTTCGTCAAATTCTAAACATATCTTTGAGTCTGGTAAGGACGCAAAATGTGAGATTTTGATAACACGATACATCTAGATTTTCATTCCATGTACATACAGTATTAATATATTTTATCGTTGGGAGACAACTCAATATTTATTGAAAAACGCTCTAGTATTATGCACTTGTTTTTAGAAGAACGAAAACCTTTATAATGTTTTTCTTTATATTGGCTATATATATCCATCTTGCTGATATAAATAGATAGGCTGGTAGCATAGGATAGCCTACTTTAATTGGAATAAGTTCTAACTAATGCTGACCGACGTATCGCAATTTGAAGTACTTTATCTTTTAATTGAAGCTATTCCGTATTTAGGAAATGCAAGATATTGTGAAGTCGGTATATTCGCTGACAGGGTCTGAAGATGACGAATCTTCGCCTGTTTATTCATACATGGAACATGCAAATCGCGTCTTCCGTAAATTGGATCAAAACAATGATGGCTACGTTACATATCCAGAATTTGTCGAGGCATGCAGTAGAGTAAGTAACAATTGTAGTATTTTCGTTATATTTGCTCATACGTATTGTCGTATAAATGTGTATAAATGTTTTACATCGTTTGCGGTATTTTTCGTTTCACAAAATCGAAAGTACAATGATTTGTTTTTGCAAATACTTGAATTAACTTGAAGTACGTGAAGGACACCTGATCTCAAACAAATATTTGGGTCGGATTATGTTGCGTGAGAAATCGGTTTGTGATACTATCTTGTACTGTGCGACAAAGCATGATTCAGTATGAAATAAATTTTCGGTTAAGAATTATGAATCCTCAGTTTTCTTTGTTCACATTTATAAGAAAATAGCGTCAAAATCAACTAGCCTGCTATATCTATAAAATATTCGTATGTATCAAAAAGATCCTGTCAACTATCCCATCTAGTTCCGCGATATACATTGCATAAATGTTTACAATTCGGCGCTGTAGTGAGTTTTCTTTAGCACTTTTTGACTGCGTATGACTGAAAAAATATTCTATTCCGTCGATGGTAAAATGTCGAACTATATAAAGATATTATCATGTCGAGTGATAAATATTATAATATTAAATCCCCGAGATAGCAAGTTGACAACTCTAAAAAACGCTTGCGACCTATATATGTATATATATAGGGGTGGGCAAAATCGAATATTTTTTTCGAATCGAATAGTTCGAATATTTTTAACGAATACCGAATAGTCGAACAACGAATATTTTTTTATACACAACAGGAGGTCTACAACGTCGGTCGATACTCCCTTTGGAAATTAATAAAAAAATCGGCTACAAAGCGTTTTTTTACTAGTTAATTTCGTCATAATCGCTGATTGTTTTTGTCACCGTGACCGTTTTTGCGGCGATATATAATCTATCCGCCCTTTATGTTATTTGCAAGTAATAATTCTTTCGGGTCGGCGGACATCGACGTTTATATTTCGGGTTTACCCGTGCGTTCACGTCGGCAACAGCTGCTAAAATCATTAAGGATTGATGAAAAAACTCAAATTAATATTATTCTCATTTTTATCATTTGCGTTGGCTTTCATATTACTTATCAACATTTGTAAATTTACCGTCACAATATTATGCGAACGGTAATATTATTATCGATACCGGGATGTAGATATTTAATAAGACAATACCGTAATTAACTTTGCTATGCTTTTCTGTGGTGTCTATGTTACTTTACAGATAAACTTCGCAAAGCTGAGACTGCGTCAATCCCGAATGTTTATTTAAAATAGTCTAAATAATTCGACAATAAAGGCATTTCTGCGTGGCCATGACGAGATGATGTTAATAAACAGCGCTGCTTGAATAATAATTTACATATGCGACCTAATGCTGAAAAAAATTGGGCTTTTTTTGCTCTTGTGCCTAATAGATGGCCAGACGCTAATTATAACTAACTCTTCCAAGTTCCGACGTTTTCTTTCAACAAACCGCGCGATCATTATAGCTAATATCGTTACCGAGTAATTCACAATTTTATTTACGGAATTTGCGAATTCACTTTTACTTCTCTTGACAATTTTGATAATGTCACGCCCTATTTATTTGTGCAAAAATGCTCAAAATATAACGAATGTAATCTTTTCCGACGATACAACAATTCGTAAACGAGACAGTGCGCGTTGTTACATCGAAATTCACGATTGATTTTACGCCATACTCCTGTTCACGATTTCTACACTCCACCCGCCATGCATGCCCCCACACTTTCGAAACATTATTTGGTCAAGAATGAAAGGGATCACTAAAGAATTATTTGAAAGTACATTGAAAGAACTATGTCCTGCCATTTCTTTTCTGGTAATAGTTGTTCGTGTTATACTATGTATGGTTTCACGCAAAAGTTAATTCAACTTTTAATTTTCGTAAAAAAAAATTTATGTTTGGTTCATGCATGAAACGGCTAATCACGTGCCGCCAATCATACGGAGTTTAAAATCTGGAATATTTATTTTAAATACCTCATCTAATTTAACGTTTCTAAATTTAGGGAACGGTGTCGGTACCTCTTTATGCAACATAGGGAATTGAAATGAACGATCGAAACGCAAAGAAAACAAATAACACCACAACGCATAGACGATTTTTCAAATTTGTCGCTTTTGTCTCTTAGCGAGCGTTGTAGGTGAATTCTCGCGCAATTCACGATCGGTTCAGAGACGTTCTGTGTCCAAGTGAAGCGACGCAGATCACGTGGTACCCGATATTCGAATAGTAAAATGCCATTCGAATAATTTAATATTCGATTCGCTATTCGAATATTTTGCCCAGCCCTATATATATATATATATATATAATTATACTTTCATATTTGGCAGTTCCATCTATGATGACTTACACAATGGGGATAGCTACGTAAAATATATTCCAATTCTTTTTTTACACAAATGAAAGTAGTATATAATTGTTGATGTACCCAGCACAGACGTTCGTACATAAGATAACGTTTTCGTTGGACACTGTTATGTGGTATTGGCATAGAATGTAGGGCCACACAATCAAATTTCGCTTTTCCTAATTCATCAACACAAATAAGGCAAATAGAAAACAAGATAGGCGAGGCATGCATGAATTCAAGTTCACCTGTACAAACTTGTTTTTTTTCCTTTATTCAAATAATTTGAGAGCCAAATGGAAAGTTATAAGGAGTGAAATGTCGAGTAATAAACAGGTAGAAATCGCTTAATAGCAACTGAATGTGTTTTAGTGGAACCGCTATCAGTTTCTTCTTGTTTCTAGCAAGACTTATGCTCAAGATTTGGCCTAGCTTTGTGGGCAAAAACATGCATATTTTATGAATACTGCTTTAGTTGAGTTCACGTAAGTGTTAGGTATGTATACAGCCAGATTCAAATAAACCCGGCGTTTGTCGAACTGTCATATTTATAACATGGGCGGCTTGTAGGCTATATAATTCTTGTTATCTCCACAGCTCACGTGATTTTGCTAACATTTTACATTCAAATAGACACAAAGTACTTCATAGAGGCCGGTATCAGGGATGGCAAACTGCTGACCCACCATGTTTTTTGATGACCGAGTCCCGAATTGATGCATATAACATTCTAACATTTCAGTGATAAAAATTGACAATAAACCCGGCCTTAGTTCAATCTAAACTTTACTAAAATGCCATCATGAAGCCAATTCCAACAATACTGTTACAACGTATATGTTATTGCAATATAAATGATCTGTTCATTTTTTGGAACTTGTTTCGTGGATCGGTGTTATCATATTTATATTTTTTCTTTTTTAACAGGACCCTACCGTTGTCGCCTCGTTGAAAGTTTTTGAAACAGCATTCTGACAAAAAATGGTGATATAATAATAATGATCCAGACAATATAAAACTTTTCACAAAATTGAACATGAGAGTAAAACAATTACGTTTGCGTATAACATTCACGCTTTGCTAGCCTACCGAAACTTGCCATATTTATGTATACCGGTAACAAGTAAAATCTTACCAGAAGTTCTCTCAAATGATCAGTGGTGGTAAAACGCTGGTATTTGTTCCATATGATGTTCGACGGTTGGGTGTATTCGTAACTTAACTTCAAGTTGGATATTACAGCCACGTACGATTTTATATAGCCTTTATACTACAGGATGGATTGTATCTGATTTTGCTATTGGATCAGCAAAACACTGTTCGGCTAAATAGCCTCAAATCAGACTCCGTTGCGCCAATTATCATCCCATATTTCGATTTACTGTTATTGTTGCAATGTTACATACTTTATTATTTTTTGCATAACTTTCGTCATGTATTTTCTGACTAATAAAACAATTGACTGAAGTTGAACACACTGATGCACGAGTAGGGTTGCCAACTTTCATTAAAGGACACTATGACACATATCCCCAAAGTTTAAAATTACCGGGCTAAACTCGACATATGTAGAAATATCAAGCTTCAAATACGCTGATGTTTCTGTGACAGGTAGCACAAATGAAACTATTTTAAAAATATTTACACACTCAGGATTGAAAATTTGTAGGTTCGTGTGTCACTCTTAGTACTTTTCTGTGGACGTTACAAAGTCTTGTACAAACGGTATTCACCAATTCGTGGAATTCAAATTGCGCTGGTAGATGACCATCGCCATATCTTTATTTGAATTCATGGAAACCATCCTCATAACCGAGGCATACACGAGAACGAGATTCGCCCCCTCCTGTATGGGTAACTGCGAGTTTCCGTCGAGATAGAAAAGAACAATGCCATATCGATATACAACTTATAGAAAAAGTTAAATTTATATTTCCGCTTTTCAAAATTTTCATAACATAAATAGCCAAGAATGTGTTTAAATATATCGTTCGCCAAGCATAATATCAGAGCGTTGAAAATCGTATATCGCATTCATGCTTGATCACAACTGGGTAAAACATCGTAAGTGCAAAAAACTTGGTTAAAAGGAGATATCATCGATCTCACTCGGTCCAATCATAAACTATTGATGAATCTATTATTTTTCGTAATCGATGTATGGTCCGAATGAAACGGGGCGAATAGTCATTGTTATGAATGGTAAGTGCAGATTTCATAATAAAAGGTAAAAAATAAATATATAAATTATTTTTTCTTTGATTTTGTATCTGCTGACGCAGTTGTTGACATGTTACTTGGTGGTTGTTGATCGTTGTCATCTTCATTTAGTTGAGGTGAAGGAGGTCGAATGGAAGGGAAGACAAAAGCTGGATGATAGTTGAAGCTAAAACACGAAAAATCACCTAAAACAAGTTGTCGTCCACCTGGAGGGGTAGAATTCAAAAGTCGGTGTTCTACCAATTTCGAAAGCTTTCTTAAAAAAATCAAAATTCTGAATTAAATTGCTTGTACAGCCCCAAGCGTTCTGCGAATTCTCAAATCGGATTTAAAAGCAAAATTTAAGTCAAACTAGTTTATGCTTTTGCGAACGTGACTTAAAAAATTTCAAAAAAGTACCATCAGAAAGTTAACATCCCAATTAGTCAGTGTAAAATTTAGGTACAATACTGTTGTATTGATAAAGTTCAAACCTGATTTCATTATCTTTCGCATATCTCTCGATTTCAATCAATCTATTTATTCGCTCGATATTTTCACCTCGGCATGGTGCTCCAAATCTCACAACATCACAATCTAAACCCACGGCCTGAAAGATCGTAGGAAAGAGTGTCAAATAAAAGTACAAAAGTTATTCGTTTAAGCGATTCCTTGTGAACTAACACTTTGAAACCGAGCAATAAGAAACAATTTGATAACAGAAGAAATTGTCACAGACTTAATAGGAAAAAAGATACTGGCAACTAGTGCTAAGCGCAAAGAAAAGAATTGCCATCACACCGTAGAACCTTTGCAGGTTCGAAATCCGTGAAGCGGGGAAGATTCGATTGACATGCGAGAGGATTGCTGTACTTTTTGCCGTCGTAATGTGGTTCATGTAATTGTGGGCTGGGTAGGACTTCCTCCACTATAAACACCTGAAACAAGTAGTACCTGGTTAACCAATACCATACCCGTTATGAGCAAATAAGCGAACCAGAGTCGATGGTACGACATATAATTAAGCCGTCTCCTTGGCTTTCCTCACCCTGGATAAATATAAAAATCCTATCCTAACACTAAATAAATCGCTGGCCAGACAAATGAATTACAAGTAAAATTGCTCACAGACAAATATTGAGATACTAAAACCTTCAGATCACTCTTTTTAGGCAATCACAAGAGGCATCACTGATGAAGAAGCTATACATACCCACAATTTGAAGGAGCTATACATACCCACAATTCTTTCATGTAATATTACTGTAAACAAACTAATCTATGTGTATGTCGTCCGAAATGACCCCCAAAATGAAAATTGCTAAAATACACATACCAGATCACTAAACACAGCATTACAAACATCTCCAGCAGGGGATCCAAATATTGCGATTCCTTTTCTCTCATGAACAGCTTTTGTAGTTTCTGTTATATCAGTTAGTGTGACACGACCTCCCATATTGAACATTAAACCACTGGAAGGTCTGATTTCAAAAGCTGATGCATTCACAGCATGTGTTGATCCATAAATATGATCACTGCCTATTATAAAACATCTAAAAACAGGATTTAACAGTTTTAGGGACACAGTTGTGAAATATGTAGAAATGGAATGTTACAGTTGTGATTTGAACATTGCTAAATAGTAAAAACCATAAAGGAACAAAATTGAATTTTCCAAACCACGTCCACCACTTAATTCAGTGTGTAATAAACTGAGTAGGCAATGCAGAACCAGATTACTCCCAAAAGTTGTATCTCTTTACATATCAGAGACTGCATGTAGAGATTTTTTTTCAGAGTGAAAATACATATGAAAATCCCAAATATATCAAGCATACCATTCCCCAAGAATACCAGGTTTATTTATCTGCAATAAAAAAATATACATGTGAACTGCCATGTCTTTAAAGACTTGAAATCTGCAAAGAAAATGAATTAAAAATTACTTTTCTGATAGCAATTCACAGCATTTTGGCCATTGTTCTCTGTCTTCTTTTCTGAATGGATCAACAAGTGCAATAATAGCTGGATATCTTGTTATAATATCTTTGTAATAATCAACCAATTCATCTGCTGATTTCAGGGATCCCGCCATGATTTCATACTTTCCTTTACTCTGCAAACAAATTTATTATTCAACTGAGATTATTATCATTATTAAATCGCTAATATTATGAATATGATAATCTAAACAGTGTGAACATATGGAGCGTTAAGCTACATTTCTTCAGCACCTAAAGATTATTACTTTTTTGGGTACTCCTGAGATATGCGCACTAAGATGTCGCATAACCTGGTCCTGAACCCTAACCTGGTACACAACTTGAATTCAGGTTGTGCGCCATCTTGGTGCGCATACTTTAGGAGATTCAATTTTTTGAGTTATATGGTACCCAATATTTCACCACATATTTTGCTGTTTATTTCAATTGATGGCAACAATTTTATATGACATACGGGAACAATTACATGTGACTAAAACTTTATTGAATTTAGTTTGATAAAAAAAAACACATTAGGTAGTCAAATTAAGCTTAGCATAACGTGTCAACTATTAAGCCAGTAACATATAATTTGACTTGAGAGAATACATTATGTTTAAACAAATTACCTTTCATGTTGTTCATCATGTCAGTCTAACTCTAGCATGATTATATCTATCACATCCTAACAGAGATTTTATTATAGTGGGATAGGTTTTCATATTTATTCTGACAAAAGAGAAAAATAATGAGATGGTCTAATCATATGGCCAACAATGAATGCCTCACATCACAATACCAGTCCATGTCAGGTATGGAAAATTTAAACTGCTATTCGTTTCAGATACATTGTTTGCTTCCTGGATCTAAGAAATAGCTCACATAGTCAAAAACTTCATGTGCGGCGCATTCAATTCCAATAAAAATGTCTTGCCCAGCATTTAATCCCAGTGCAGTTCCTGCTTCTTGCAACAAATCAAGTGGTTGCTCAATTTTTTCAAAGCTTGGTTGATAACCACCAGTTATTCCAATAGGTGGGGCCGGCTGTAATAGGAAATTAAAATGTGTTAATATTGACATTGTATAATCAAATTTCAAACATAAATTGAAGTTCCTGTATCCAATGGGATATATTTACACATAATACAAATCTTACTATCTGTAGCAAGATCTTAATTCTCAAGGAACCCAGGGAAATGACTCCACAGAAGTCGTTGATGTACAGGGTGTCCCGAAAAAAAGAAATCCTTCCATCCGATTACCAGTAATCAGTAATTTATTTTTCCATCAATACTGAAAATACGCAACATACATACCAATTTTGTGGGTTTCATTTATTTTTGGACACTCTACAATTGAGTCAATTGATATAAATTAATTGAAACTGCTAGAGACAATTCTGCTGAATTTACATCTTACTTGATTCCTCTAATGCCCAAGTAAATAAGAAATCAGTAAGAATGAATTTCAGAATGAGACAAAATTTAACATCCATTACTCAATGCATGAAAACACCTACTCTATAAAGCTTAAAAAAATGAAATATTCAAGTTACCCCCTTAGCTGAAAGAATTTTCCCAACTTGATGAAATACTTGAGTTAATTTTTGTACGCTGTCTTCCATTGACAATCCTGGCTTTGTGATCACAAAAATATTCTTAGTGATGTTGAGTTTTCCTAAAACGCAGAAAGAAGTGCTGCAATACGGACAACAATAGCTATTGACTTAATCGAAATGGCACAAAAAGTTATGATTGAATGCTATGATGCAATTAGTGGACTTATCACTGATTACAGCTTCATTCAATCCAGTTCAAATATTCAAAAGGCGGCCATAGTAAATGATGGACTCAAACCTATGAAATTTTTTTTAAAACTGATCTTTTATAAATTGACAACAAAATAAACTTAATCAAACAATTTAAGACATTGCAGGCATTAAAATATTTTTCGAGTAAAACTTGTTTGACACTACCTTGAAGTAGTGTCAATCAAATGAATATTTTTTCACTCTTTTGTCTGTTTGTCTAAGAATAGCGCTCTATCAATGAATGACATTTTCATTTTTATCTTAAAAAGGGTTAATTAGACAGCTTATTATCTGTTCATGTATCATAATAGTTTGTTAAAACTAGCATACTTGAAAATTTTTCCATTGCAGGATTTTTTCTCACCTAGTGATGTTTTCCCACCACTAATAATATTCATACTTGGTACAGGGAAAGTGATTGGTTTGGTTGCATCGACAACATTGTGCATATGATCAAATACTGGTTTTTCAAGAAAAGATGCAGCTGCTACAAGAACTGCTAGTGATGCTGTTGCAACTGCAGTACCACCCTGCAGTCTGAATTCAAAAGCTTCATATGGAGGGACTGGTTTATCTGGTTGCTTTCCCTTGCCTTTCGCAGATGGGGCCTTCTTTTTAGGACCACTGGACGGTGTTGGGGTTCTGTTGTCATCAACTTCAACATTTACTGCTGGTCGTGCTTTGTCTTCTTCCTCATCTATCCATTTTCTGCAACAGTCCAAAGACAAGAATTCATTGAAAATCTATCACGTCATTGAGTGCTCACTTTATATGCCACAAAGGTAATGAATTGAAAAATTGGTATATTAAATTAAATATGTGAATGTTCGGGTAGATTCATTCAAAATGTTGTTGCAAATTAATTTGTTAGTTTACTACAAAAAATCTTCAGGGACACTTATATACAGGCTCGGCAATGTGGCACATTGTGCTAAGCATTAGGCTCACCACCGCACCCCCGATTACCCTGCGCGGGTTCACTGGTTTGAATCCCGTGCGGAGATTAATATGTGCGTGATATTTTTTGGTCTCCTCGCCGCCATAGGGTGGTTCATGTAACCGCTGGTCCCATACCCGACATGGTCTGGAAACCGGACGAGAGGCCATGGTTCACCATATGATTGATTAACCAGTGTTAAACATAGAAATCCTATCCTGTAAATCCTATCCTATATAAATACAGCAAAGCTACAAGGTATTAGGTTAATTTGACAAAATTTAGAAAACCCTGAAAAATGAGCTACCTCAATACATAGTCAATTTCTCTTTGATCCATGGGACAAAGTCCATTCAACTTGTCACATAGAGTAGATTGTAGAAATGTTGAACACAATGATGCAATATTCTCTTTAGTTGGTTCTTTTTCATCTGAAAAAAAAGAAAATCAACACTTTCAAGATAAATCTTGAAAACTATTAATAAAAGTAGGAATTGTTTCATTCCCCAAAGTCTTTCTTAATTATTATAAAATCGCTGCAGAATTATGTTTGAGATAGATGAGAACAATATAACATGGATATCTAATCAACCTTGACACACATATGATAGCGTTTTACAAAAGGGATTTTTGTCTGTGTGATGTATCACAAATATATTTATCAAATACAAGTATCACAAAGTATTCCTGAAAGTGACATATATTGTGTATTGTCACATGAAAGTTAATGTGGTATATAGTGATGTATTTCTATATAAAAAAAATAGATTTCAAACCGGATTCAGGTGGGGGGACAGGCAGAAGAGATAACTCAGGTGCAACTGACATGCTTGTTGATGATAATAGCTGTAATACAAATATAAAATGTTCAGTGATCAGGATCGTGAACTAAAGGAGAATTTATACTAGAGTCTGACTTAGAAGCCATATGAAAATCAATTCAACTCAAAAATATGGATTTTATCCATGAAACCTGCTAGAGAAAATTTAAAACAAATTCTATTAGAAAAACTTATAGCGTATTATTTAAACAGGTTCTATCTGTCTGTTGAAATTGCTCAGAAATTTCTGTCAGAAATTTGAACTTTTATATCAAATTCATATCCGGATTCAGAATATTCAAACAATTGACTCTCGCAAGTTTTAAAAAAGAATCTTGCTCTGATTCAAATCACGATAAAAACATGTCAAACCCCAACTCCACAATCAGTAATTGAGTTTATAGTAGGAAAATATTCATGGAAGAGATTTTTCAGAGAGTTCCGTACTTTGAATTAAAACATATGGTGCTAAAACCTATATTATGATTAATAACATTAACAACGGCCTATCATTAGACTTCAATGGATCGCAAAAATAGAAATTGAGACATTAGTTTTTGGTATATCCAAATGTTTGCATATACATAGTTTTTACTTTAAAAATAATACATTATAATAATATAGAAAAACTCAAATATTCTTTAATGTAGCATGGCATCACAGTGATAAAACTATAAGCCTATCTGATTTTAAGTGGTAATAGTAAATTGAAAGATATTAATATGCTGTTTCACAAAATGGTTTCACTTTATATTATTATCACAAAATGAGCCCTGAAAAAAAAATATTCAATTACCTTGCTTTCATTTCTTACAATTCCAAACACTTGGCAAGATATTGCTGAACTTCCGGTGCTGTCCATCACAATTGTTGATTTTATTTTACAAATTTGAGAAGGTAATGACATGGTTTCGAAATACTTTGACTGAACAAAAAATAATATAAAGGAGTAATACATTTAGTCATTTATGTCTATTTTATATGGAAATATTTGAATTAAGCAGAAATTCATAATATTCCCCTAAAAATTTCAAAAGGTTTGGTCAAAAATTAAATAACTAAGATACATAATGAGCTGAAACTTGATACATAGTCAGATTATTGCACTATTTAACTAGCTTCGAAGTTTTGTCATCCTGCACTTCTGAGTGTTTGACGTAAGATTTTTACCATTAGTCGAATATTTTGTAATCTGCATTGCCATGGATCAAATTACCTGTTACGAATCTATTCTCAGCCTTCAAATATACCAGCGAATTGCAGCAATTATTATACGTTTGTGTATTCTTGTGTGTGAGTACAAATTGGCCATTCAATCAGCAATAGATTGTTTGAGCGCACAACTGTGTATACTTATAATGTTAACACTGAGATAAAACACTTTCATAATATATTTAAAGTGCATGATGCTGAGCAAATTTTACTGTTAGTATGGCGTGAAAATCATGAGCTTAGCATTCAAAGCTAAATCATCTTATATCAGAATATAATACACAACTGTACAATTTGACATCAAAGTTGAGTTTCAAGGTTGGACAAATGTCAAAATGTCATCTACTGCTTTAACACAGCTGAAGTAACTTACCAATCTTCCATAAACATCATCTGGTTTTTCATAAAACATGGAATTTAAAATTTCTTCCAACTTTTCAGGTACTTTATTTTTTGTATAATATTTTGCTGCTTCTTGTTTGAGCTCATAAAATTCACGCTCAGACATGGTATGAGCTTCATCATCAACAGGCATGTTCATAATAATATGCACGAAGTCTGAAAAATGTTAATAGTTGATGTTATAAAAACAGCTGAAAAGCAGGGGTCTAGTGTAGTTTCGTACTTCAAGTACTTCTAGTGGGCATAACAATTTTTGCATATGTCAATGCCAACCCTCCTGTGACTCCGTCAACAAAAAATTATGTCAGCACGATGTAATAAACCCTTCAGAAAACTATACAAACTTTCATTCAAAACGTGCAGACGATTACGTAAAATCGAGCAACCTATTTCTATTGCCATCCCTAGGTACAGACATCATAATATTGTAATAGGATAGGATTTACAGGATAGGATAGGATTTACATATTTATCCCGGGGGAGAGGAAAGGCGATAAGACGGCTTATCCATATGGCGAACCACGGCCTCTCGTCCAATTCCCATTCCAAGTCGGGTATGGGATTAGTCATATTGTTTGTTTTCGGAAGCATGGACTTGGTGGTGGAGGAAGCCGTAACCGACCAGCGGTTACGTGAACCACCCAACGACGGCGAGGAGTCCAGCAATCCTCTCGCACATAACCATCCCTGCATGGGATTCGAACCTGCGAACCCACGCAGAGTAATTAGAGGTGCGGTGGCGAGCGTATTCTTAACGCTTAGCCCAGTGGTTCTCAACCTTTTACTAACCGCGTACCACTTTACTGTTTTTTACTCTGGCCACTAAAAAAGCCCCTTTTTTTGGCGCGGAGAACAATGGCACAAGACACGTGCTATGGGAGTATTTTATAATGTGGAACTACATTCTCCGTGACCTAATTCGCAAGACGGACGAAATAGACACTGATGGCTTAGTTCAGATTAGTCTATCGCAGCATTTGCGAGACTCATTTTTGATTACAGCAATTAAATTAATGCTCTTTTAAAGACATAATGACAATTAAGATCTTTAATTCACAAATTTTTTTTGAAACGCAACTGAAAATTGACAAATAACACGCAAAACTACAAAAACGAAGCAATGTTCACTGATTGTTGCTGGATACGGAAGTAAACAAGGAAATTGATGCCCGGGGAAACATTCATAAAGGCTGTTCAGCGGATACATACAGTATGGAAGATAAAGCGTTGTCGGCATATTTTGGCCAACTCAAAAGTTAAATTGTTGCAATAAGTTGAAGCTGCTCGCGTACCACTTGATCATCTTCCGCGTACCACCAGTGGTACCAGGTTGAGAACCACTGACTTAGCCCGTTGAGCCACACCGCCGCGCCAATAATAATCATATCGGCACTGTACGGTTTCTGTAATTTCTACCCCTACAGTCTCACGTTACGTCTGGTGTCAACCATTAAGTTGCATAGATCTGAAAACCAACTGCAGAACTAGCCTACTAAAGTACAGGCAGTACCAAGCCAGTAAACATCAAAGTGACTAGAAACCTAGACTAGGTTTCTAGTCACTTTGGTAAACATAACATCCAATTCCAGAAATAATGCAAGGGACAGAATAACCATGGTTACAGGGTTACGTGTTCCGGGTCAATGAAAATCAGATGTATTTATTCCACTCGGTGATGTTTTTGTACAAATACTATTTTAGAATCAGTTGTCTTTTACTTCTTTACGTCTTTTATCTTTTACCCACACTTCCGAATCCATTAAAACAAAATTAGTGGCAGTATAATAATGATTCATCAACTAAACTCTTTATTCCAAGTTTCCAATCGCTTTAACCGCTACCGGTACGCGCCGTACGAACGATCAACTTTAGGATAGGATAGGATTTACATATTTATTTCGAGGGAGAGGAAAGCCGATAAGACGGCTTATCCATATGGCGAACCACGGCCTCTCGTCCGGTTACCATTCCAAGTCGGGTATGGGATTAGTTATATTGTTTGTTTTCGAACGCATGGACTTGGTGGCGGAGGAAGCCGTAACTGATCAGCGGTTAGGTGAACCACCCAACGACGGCGAGGAGTCCAGCAATCCTCTCGCACATAACCATCCATGCATGGGATTCGAACCTGCGAACCCACGCAGAGTAATTAGAGGTGCGGTGGCGAGCGTATTCCTAACGCTTAGCCGCGCCGTGAGGTGAGGGTATAATATATACAGTATTATATTTTAAGTCTGTGAACATGACAAAAAGATACCCGGCCAATACTTTTTGTCGGCAAATATGTAAAAATATCTTTGAAATTTACCAACTAAAATAAAATATACATGACACCTATACATAACATAGAAAACATAATGTATATTTAGTCCAATGAAAATTGAAGCTTGAAAATCGTTTGAAGCTTGTTCGTGTTACAATGGCAATTATCACATCCAGTGCGCTCTCATTGCCTCATTCTATGCCAATACATAAAAACAAACGTGCAGACTGGCATGCTCGCTCGTGACTGAAATGTATAAACAGTATCATAGAATATCAATCATTCTTGGAAAGAAGAGATGAAAATGTAGGTATCGTTAAAGCAATACCGACAGACTGAAAATGACTTCAAGTACCGGTAGATTATTGAATACATGTCCCTAAACAATTGAAAATCAAATATTTCAATTTTCTGCTTTTTGGTATAATTTACAGAGTTGAAGACGATTTATCCTATGTAATATGCATACATATATAGATATATATATATATATCATGAAATACTCAATATTATGCATTTTATATCGAAAACATAAATATTGCGGTGGGGAGACGGACAAATTTGAAAGTTATTCAAATTACACTGAAACTATGGTAGCATTAAACATACAATTGAATTTTAAAAATCTCGGGAAGTCAATGCTTGCTAACTATGCTATTTTTAGATTCTGTAGGCATATATAGAGGATTAATAAATCGGTTAGTATTACATATATATATATATACGCTAAGCGAACTTTGCTCTATTAGTTAAATGATGGGGAGCATTTTTGCATTCATTCATTACTTCGACATATTATGAAAAAATATCTTAGATATGTGATATAGTTCACAAAACAAAACAATAATGCTGTTGATCTCTAATTGAAGATCGATGCCAAACTGCGCTTTCAACTCGCATGTACGTAATCGAGACATGAGATCTGCTTTGAAAATAGATTAGAATTATATAATATTCTATTTTTGAGGTCTGCTTTGAACATAAATTAGAATTATATAACATAACTAAAATTGAACGAAAAATAGTATTTTTCAAATTCATATAAATTAGAGCAACTTGAGCAGCAGCATCAGCGCTTTTATTTTTTAGCGCTGAAAAAAGCTCTGAAGCTGACAAGATATAAACATGTACCATCTCAGTGAGGCTACTCTGTTTGACTACTTACATCAGCATCGCACAACCGTTGAGCGAATGGTGCACGCCAGAAGTTTACGTTGATATGTCAGATAATGATGCTAGGTAGACAAAATAATCAGATCAGTAATTTACTTTCTCACCGTAGTTTAGACACACTTGATGTACAAATTGCAATAAATATTTAAAAAGCATTTCAGAGTGACATGCCAACCTGGTATGTCCAGTAATCTAGCGTTTCAACAACAATCAGTTTAAGAACACTATTTACATATAAAAATGGGCTCATAGTTTCTATTGGTAAATAAACGGCCATCGATAACAATATGCATCAGTGTTTGTGTACCTGTCAAAGTGACTATAGCACTTTGGTAGAAATATGCTTTACTTACTATCTTTTGCTATCCTGATGGCGGTAGTTCAGAGTTCCCAGTGTGCCTGGAGTGACAAAGAAGATAAATGCACTTTACCCGTTTCTGATGAAATTAACTGGAACGCGGTTAGTAAAATATATATATATATTACTTCAGGTTTTGAAATATTATAATAAAAAAAGAAAAGAAAATTATGATATTCATAATGTAGAGACAAAAGTTAATTTAAATAATATGTTTAATTAACCGCTTGTAATAATTTTAATGATGATCTTTATAAACATTAAGATTAGATTGCTAAAAGCATAAGCGTAAAATCATGCGATCATTTGAATAGTTAAAAAGTTTAAAATTTTTACCGGTACTGGATAACTGCTGTCACTCCAAGAATTACTGAAGGATTCATAGGGATTTTTAACTCTACTTTTCCACTTGTCATTTCACCGAGAATCCTATGTATTTAAAGATATATAGTTTGGTGTATAATTCCGCTGATTCTAGCGGAAATTTGATGAAATCACCAAAATGTTGATATAATAAAATTTTTGTTTTTGCATTTAGCTTTCAGGGTCTTGGTATGTCACCATTGACATAAAGAGACTGTTATCGAAAGCTGATTCATGTTTCGAAATTCGTGATATCAGAGATACTGACGATGGAGTTTATTTGGAGCCTCATGATATTGACATATTTTCCAAGTATAGCTGGTCTTTTTTCTATTTTTAATTTAAAATATAAGTGTCTAGGTTTATAAATGTTTCTGAATATTTTTTAGCAAATCAAAAGCTCACGGTACCGTTCCTTTCCATTGGACTCACATGCATGATTCAATCAGCCGGATGAAAAATATGGTAAAGATAACTTGTGCATAATTGAATTAAAGTAACAACTTTTATCTGTATCACCTGTTTATTAATACAATGATATGTAGATATTCATGTATTACGTCAACTTAATGTTGTACGATATTGATTTCACAGTATTTCCATTCATTGAAGAAGTTAAAAAGTATGGGGCAGGCCAGGAAGCAGTAACTGGTAAGGAAAAGCATTTGAATAGTAAAGGATATAATATTTACTTCATTATTCAGTGTTAGAAACATACTAAAGGTTCACATTTGCGGAGAGTTTCGTTTATGAATATTGTAATAATTCATATAAGCAACATTATTTACTGTTCTTTATTTGTTAGATATTGAAGAAGTAAATAAGCAACCTTGGACCTGCATGTCAGATTACAACAAACAATTAATTTGTCTTGAATGTAATGTAGACGGTACGTTCGTGATAGAAAACAGTACATAGCCTCATATACATTGGTTAAATATATCTTTCAATACTGGTTCATACTAGCCAATATATATGAGTATTGCTTCTTGACTTCGTTCGTACTTGGCATAATATTCTGAATGTTACATTTACATAATTTACCATGGCCATGGCAGTGTATAAAATGTGCGGTGATGTCGACGTACGTTCTAAAGGTAACGACTGAAAAAAACAAATTTGAGATTTTTGCATTACACATTTTCCTCTTGCATGATACTTGATCACTCCTTCAAACACTTCTTCACCTGTTCTTTGGATATGTCCCAACGAGAACGAATTTAAATTAAGTATAGCAGGCACCAATAACATATATATATATATATATATATATATATATATAAATACAAGGATTAGGATAAACAAAACATTCATATGCTTGTTGAACTTCCTAACATAAGATCCACAGAATTAAACAAACAACTTCAACATGGAAAATTTCAAAGTAAATGATTCAACAGAAAAATTGCTTTCAATGGTAAGATAATGGTCTTTTTCTTATATACACATTTAGTTTTAAAACTATTTAGCAGATGGGAAGTTGAGTTTATATTTGTATAACCTAATTAATTCTGATTCTTTTATAATTTTTAGAGCCTGAAAGAGTTATTGACATTGGATGAGAATTTGAAGCAACATCCTTCAACTGAAGATATATTATTTTCGCTACGCAAGAAACAAAGCAACATGAAAAGAATTAGAAAATCACAAATAAAGTCTGCAAGTGATTCTCCATTAGTTTCACCCAAAAGTGTACGAGAAAATTATGAAAATATATCTCCGGCTCAGATGTACAACAAGATGGAAATGATAATTCAGAAAAACAGCTCGAAGAAGCAATCTCCTCGTCGCGTAGTTCCTTATCCTGCTTTGAAATCTCGCAGAATGGTTTCTCCATCGACGTCTTTGTGGATAAATGTTGTTAGACGACAACATGGCAAATTATGCAACAACAGAGTTTAAAATATATTTCTAAGCAAATTCTATCATTTTGAAACTCTTCAAATTGTTACGTATATTTAATTTTATCATTTTAAAAGTCTTCCAATTGTTACGTATATTTAACATTGACTTGAGAATAAAATTTTCTTTACTTTTACCAATTTTTTTGTGTTTATATATATACTTAAAAAACATTATCACAAATTATAACTTTCAAATATGGGTAGCAACCGATTCATCAAATATGGACAATCACACCAATCTGAGTGAAACCGGATGAAATCAGTGCAGAATTACATAAACATGATGTTACTTCTTTTTTTGTGCGTGGTAGTATCATTGGATAAAGACGGGCGCTAAACACAGTTGAGTGAGTACTCAAGAGATAACGGAGTTTAGCGAGTACAACCATATGCGGGGAATATGTTTCATGTGAATCTCCCTTTGCAAACAGTTGAAAAAATACACATACAATAACTTTTTCACATTGTATTTAATAATATTACGCTCATGTCCGTATAAACTAAGTATTGAAAAGAGTGTTTATATTTGTATTCATTCACCTTCACAAATAATGTTTATCATTTTTTTCATGACTTCTAACATAGTAAAACTGTGCGTTCAAACGTTTTTCTCCTCTATATTTTAAAACACATATTCTATTACATCTTCTGTTTTCATCTAAGTGCTGCACAAACGCTAGAATTAACAGAACCCGGTAACACCAAATCTCGTAAACAGATAAAAGAGTATTTCAAAAATATTTTGTTGAAGCTGTTTTGTTCATCTTTTAAAAGACGAATCTGTCGAAAAATCTTTTTTTGCAAATTGAACATTGGATTCGAAGATTCTGAAAAATCACAACAATATGAAAAGAACCGGGTGAAATCAGTGTAAAATCAAATATTCATGATGATAATTCCTTTTTGTGAGTTGTAGTATCAGTAACTGAAGAAACGTGTTCAATTCCAGATAAATCTTTCTTTGCAAAATCGTTTTGGTGGTAAAGAAACTATGATTTTTGTGCGTTACAGACAAAGTGGAATGGAGTCAATATACCGGCGGTTACACATTCTGTTCATAAACATAATATTGAAAGTATATTAAATATTACAATTTAGATGTTTGTGGCTAATCAAAGGCGGTATTTTATAAATAAAGCCCATTTCATTTATTTATGAGAAACATTATATCATATCTCCGTAAGAAAACAACCAGTTGATATGCTACTGATGCTTTATCATGATCTGAAGGATGAATTAAACTATATCAACAATAGATAAAGGTTCCTGCAACTTATCGTTCTAAGCTACGTAGTGATAACTTTGTGATGCCTCTCGATCAAATGTTATCATTAGATATTTAATCTAAATGAGGCTCTCTTTGATATTTAGATTAATATTATATATATATATATATAATAATTATAATGATTTATTCAGGAACCAGACACATATGGGCATTTACCAAAAAATCTCGCCTGAATGCAGAAGACGTATTGAATATTCGTAATTAACTAATTGAACTTGGAGGTGGATGGAGCGACGTCAAGCTATATCTCAGTGGCTGTAGCAAATTATGAACATTCGATAATGTTAGTGACTAGAACAGGTTTATTAATCAGTAAAATACAGCTGTTGGTGAAATATATTTTGAGTTTTTTTTTTTCATGTAACATTCACTTTCGAGCTATAATTCAAAATTAAATTAATTACTCGGAATCTAAATATGTGAATAGTATATATTGAAACGGTGATTTAGGCAAGCGATAATAAATAAGCATAAGGGTCAAAATGATTAGCTAGGAATGAAACAATGTCACTCACCAGGCATGAAGACGTTTAGATTTTTAGAAAATCTTGCAAATACCATATATAAGAGGATGAGAAGCTTAATTGCTGGAATAATTCCTAAAATAAAATGAGGTTGTGTTCAAACCATCGGAGTATTGTTATGTGGAACTTTCACATTATGCAATATGTATGTGACCCAGTTTTGAATTATTCGCTTTAAATGCCCTATTACACTCATTTCGTAATATTTTGTTTTGTTGTTTGCCTGAAAAGGCGTTTTTCAAGAGAATTCCCCTGTCATGTATTATATATGTTTCTCTCATCATTCAGTACCATACCTTTAAACTGACTGGAAAAATTCAGTTGCTCGATCATAGGGGTGGGCTACTTTTTTCGGCTCGCGTGCCAAAATCGGCAAAATTTAACGACAAAATTCTTCCGCGTGCCGACCAAAAAACAATTCGTTGCTACGTTCAAAGAAAAGATACACAATAATAAACCTTCTGAACATGTACAGACAGATTCACTATTCTGGGAAATATCAGTTCGACGAATAGACTTGATTACTGTTCTTATTCTATATCAGTGCGACTTCTGCTGCTGCATAGCCGCTGATGGAATTTTACATTGGGTACACTCTAATAAATATTTACCGGTAATCGCCCGGCATTACATATTACTGGGATATAGTTGTGAACTTTTAATGTGATTTTAGGGTAAAGATTACTAGAATTTTCGGTAAAATCGCTGCTTTACCTGTGGATTTTACAGAATATACATAATGTATGATTTTCCCCCTAAAATTTTTGTGTGAAACTTGTCGGTGTCACAATATCAATTATCTGATTTTCATCGCGCTCTCGTTGTCTCAGTCAACTTCAATACACAAAAACAAACGCGCAGACTGACATGCTTGCTCGTGACAAAAATACATGAACAGTAGCTCGGAATATCAATCAATCTCAGAACAAAAGATTGCGCTGAAGGTGAGGTATTCATTCACATTGATTGCAAAACCTGCAGGCTGTATCTTCCTTTGGTTTAGGCTAGGTTAACCCGATTTATCGTATGCAATATTCAGGTAAAACTATACACAGATGTTATACTAGTATTATGCATCTTAAATCGAAAATCTAAAGATGGTAATCGAATTATGGTAGCATAACTAAAAACTTACAAATGCATTTTAAAACTTTCCAATGTCCAAATTGTCCGAAAGTCCAATGTTTACGGTCTATGTTATTTTTAGATTCTATAGGAAAAAGATTCGTGAATCGGTTCGTACGTTCGTATAATTTACACGATAAGCGGAATTCGTTAATTGATAAAAAGCACCCAATAGCAAGCATTCGTTACTTGATCAACAATTTTGTTTGCCATTGTTCCAATATCTTATTAAAGAGCAATAGTGAAACTACGACTTTAACTCACGGATAAAAGAATTGTGGAAAGATTATTGAGGTCTGTTTTGAGCATACGTTTAAATTATATGAGATAATTAGAATTGACAGAATCCGGATCCGGCCCGCGGGCCGTAGGTTGCCGACCATTGGCGTCTCTTTACTTAAAAAGTTTCTGAGTGTTTGAGTTCCTGTTTAGATTTAAATATTAGTTTTAAGACAAGACGTATTAACCTGAAAATTATGCTTAACATCGTATATTTTGGTTTCTTGATGACGGCTGTAATAGTTCAGAGTTCTCCGTGCACACGAATTGAAGAGGAAGAGAAATGTGTTATACCTGTTCTTGATGAGATAGACTGGAACAGGGTTAGTAAAGTATAAAGTTACTCATTGTTGTGACTTACAAAGAGAAAATAGAGATTTGAATTATTCATGATCTATTGAGGAAAGTAATTTTGCAATGATTTGTTCAACCACTCACAGCTTGCCATTTCGATAGCGTAGCGTATAAAATCTCCAAGTTGAAAACTAATCGCTATTTTACTTTTAGCTGCCCGGAACATGGTATCTCACCATGAATATAAAGGATCCGGTTGAGCAAACTGCTTCATGTTTTGAACTTCGTGATATCAGAGATACTGACAGTGGAGTTTATATTGAGTTCCGGGATATTCATGTATTTCCAAAGTGACTTCCCCTTTTTAACTTTTGGATACGAGATGGACCTATAGATTGTCTTGTTATTATGTTGTTGTTGCTGTTCTTGTTGGTATTTTCATTCTTTTTGTAGCTGCATGATAAAAATAGCTTTTCTCATTAACTACTGGATTAATTTCTTTGTGAAATTTTCAGTGGTTAAAGATTGTATTTTTCGCTATAAGACCATTACTTTCATTTGTTTCAAATCTTTCTGTGGGCTCTATGTAATTCTTTTTTCACTTCAAAATTTTGTGTGATGACCCCTTGAAATATTATACAAATTCTTTGTAGCGGTTCTTCGACCTCTCTCGTGCTACCTACCCTCTTGATTCTCGAAAATGTGAAATTATTTGACTGTACCAGTACTGTAAAAGGTCAGGTAGACTACTGCTTTGCTCTATTATTTCTCTAATGGTTCTATCTCCGAGTTCAACAATGTATAAGTAAGTGTGTTTGTGGATTTGTGTTTCTGAATTCAGGCTTATGTTTATTTTGTAGCAAATCAAAAATCCACGGTACCGTACCATTTCATTGGATCCACATGCATGATTCAATCGTGAAGTCAGATGAAAATTACGGTAAAGGCAACTTATATAATATTATTAAATATATTTAATGCAGTGGCCTAAATTACTAGCATTTGTTATTGTAATGGTTTATTAATACTCATGTATTACCTCAACTTATCATTTTTAAAATATTTATTTTACAGAACTTTTGTTCATTGAGGAAATTAAAAAGTACGGTGGAGACCAGGAAGCAATAGCTGGTAAGAAATGTATTTGACGGGTAATGGTATTATAACTTTAAAATTTTTAAATGCAAAAATCGATGCCCTACTCTGAAATTATCTGCTTTGAGATTTTCTGGCGAATGTTTTAATAAAAACCATAATTCACTTTATTTTTCAATTATTAGATATCAAAGAAGTGTATAAGCAACCTATGTCCTGCATGACAGATTACAAAAATCAACTAATTTGTTTTGAATGTTATGAAGACGGTGAGTTTGCACTACAAAACTATGTATAATTTTATATTCTTCTTTCATATTTTTCTTCTTTACAGCTATAATATATATATATATATATTCCTGGTTCATTTTAGCCTGGCCAGGATATGAAAACAATAGACTCTGTACTTCGTATAATATTCTGCATGCTATATTTCCGAAAATTTGCCATGCCAATGACATAGTAAAATGTGTGTGGTAATGTGCATGAGTGGTTTTTAGGGTAACCCTTAAAATGATCCATTTTTATTATTTTGCATTTTCTGTGTTTCTGCCAACCTTTCCGAACACATTATAATTTCTATCTCTGCTTGATTGTACGAAAACTGAATAACAGATATTTAATATATCTCACTAGCAAAGGATATAAATTTTAGTAAAGCATGTACCAATGTATAACAATAATACAATGTATACAATCATTTATTCAGGAACCAGACACGTTTGGGTACATACCAAAAGTCCTCGACTGAATGCAGAAGATGTATTGAATATTCGAAACGAACTAATTGAACTTGGAGGTGGATGGAGCGAAGTCAAGCTATATCTCAGTGGTTGTAGCAACTTGTAAACGTTGGATATTATTGACTAAATTATTTAATCAGAAACGATAGCAGTTATTTAAACATACCTTATTTTTCTTTTATGTAACATTCGCTTCCAATTTAGAATCCATAATTAAATGTATCACTCGCATTATATACCGGTATATAATATACGATGTTTAGAAAAAGGGTTCACTTGCAATGGAATATAACGGGGATTCAGACAACCGTTAACAGATAACATAAATGGCAACAATACTGGCTAGAAATTAAAGAATGTCATTCAACAAGCGTTCAGGCATTAGCATTATCAGAATTTTGATTACCTGGTGTGATATACTCACCGACAATAAGCCTTTCAAGCAACTGCAAAGGTATCAAGTACGCAAAATTCCCGGAAGAATTGTGTGTAGAGTGTCGAGGCACAAATCTTGCATGTACCAGATACGATAACAAGAATATAAACTGCTAGAATAACTACTGAAACAAATGGAATATAGATATTATTAAAAGCATTGGGATATTGTTATATAGACATCTCGTATTATGCGATGCTACTATTACACACGGAGAGGATTATCATTTTGTTAAATTGTTATCGCCTTTTGTGTTGTTAAAAAGCTGTTTTCAAAATATTGCCACATTATGTATATTGTTCTCCGGTCGATTTGGACAAGCGAGTGTGTGAAAGCCGTATTTTAACATACATCGTGCAAAATATATCTGTGACTTAACATCTTGTTTGATGTTACCTATAATTTACATTTTAAATATTCATGTCAACTTTTGTGTTGGGCATAAACATCATCAATCCTTTATATACCAATATATCAATTATATCTGGTACCCCCAATAAAATTGCAGGCCTTTTTCATTATTCCAACAAACGCGTATTTTCAAATTAGAAATAATAATTAATTTCAATTGATGTTCTCGTGTAAGTGCCGATGTCTCCCCAAGCCCCCAAAAGTTACGACAATCACAGTATTTTCAAAGTGATATATTATATGCCTACCACGCAAATGTATTCAAATAACAATTTTGTACTAAACTGCACATTCAAGCGTTTTTATTCAGATAAGGAAGCGAGGAAACCTTGCTTTCAGATGTACAATAATACGTATCATATCCGGTGCGTCAATGCCATCGAGTAAATGCTGGTTACCCGACATTGCCCCATTGTAAGTTTCACATTGAGGTACTCTACATCAATACCTCTGACTTGAAAAACGTTACTCTGTCTGTATTAAGAACGCGATTGTCTAGTCTAGAACAGTGATTTTCAACCGCGGCTCTTAGAGCAGCGTACGGCTTTCAACTATTTTACCTGCGGCTTTCATTATACTTTGAAAATTAATAATTCTCAATGAAATTTTTTTATTGAAATTGATTAACAACTGGAAATTAAAAGACTGAAGGGTTGCTGTAGCTGCTAGGTCGTTTTGAGTGCAACTTTTAACTTTTCATTATGATTATGATGTATTAGTGTTTTTTCCTCAATGTTTAGCCTACGTTTCAGTACACTGATTTCATTGTTTTCAGTATGCACAAGCAGGCTATCCCGTACACTGCATGTGCAAATTTCGGTATTTTCAAACAAAATATTTATTTAATAGTTTGTCGAGAAAAAATGTCGAGCAAACCTTCGAAAAAGCTCGCACTCTTTAAAAATAAATCGGGCGTTTAAATATGATTGAAAAAGAATGCTATCATTATGAAAATATGAAGCTAGCTATTCTTGAATATATTGCCAAAGCCATGATCAAAGTTTAGCGTTGAATTGGTTTTTAACCTGAGTTTTGTTGACCTTGTTATTTCAAAATACATACCGGAGTTTTGTTTTGTTGCTATTTAATTTGCGTTTTTTGCATTGCGGCTCCTTACAACTTTAAGGTTTGAATTTGGATCTGAAGGTGTCTTATCATGTGCTCTTGTTTTGGAAGATAACCCAGTTAAAGATCTAAGCTTCAATTGCGCCGTTCATTCCAGTGCCAGGTCATGCACGGCAGATTGTTCGCAAAGAAATACATTAGGCAAACTACCGTAAATTGGAAGGAATCTTTTAGAGTAACACAAATATAATAAACTTGACATTTTCAAAAGCTAAATTTCCTCTAAATAAATTTAAATTGCTCACAAGAATGGAAACACAGCCCAAAGATGGAGAAGTTGAGAATGAAAAAGCACAGTAAGTAAAGAATCATTCTAACTTGTCATCACTGCCGTGTATATTAAAAAGTCAAACTTATTGAAAATATTTTAGTAATAAAATGTTACTGAACAAAGAACATGTTTTTCGAAAGTAGTTACTGATTCATATGCAATTTAACTTCGATAATGTTATGGACTATTAGTACGCGTTAGTTTTAATTATAGTATTGTTGCAGGTTGAATCTATCAGTTTCAAACACCATATCTATTTTTTTAATCAAGGTATAATAAATTGTAAAATTTTGTTGCTAAGCTGCATAGAATGCTACCGTTTTTCAAAACATAAATATATTTCATACAAAAACTACTTTTAAGGTTGGATCTAACTGTATGAATATTCATGCCCATCACCTATATATGCATAGTTAATAGCCTGTTGATGCCACCTGTATCCGACTGCAATTCTGCCATAGTTAATGAAATAACTGCTTTTAATCAAGTCAATTATTTGTTTAGTACACTGATATGAGTCGTTTTCTAGCACGTGAAGGAATATAAATATTCCGGCTGCAGCTTTTCACTTTGCTGATGATCCAGGTCGCTACGAATATAATTATACTGAGATTAAAATAAGCAATATATTTTTAGATAACAGTAGTTCACTAGTCACCTCATAACACTGTGGATGAATCAGTGGATATTTCTTGGACTGACTTGCAATGTCATGAATAAAAGTGAACTCGCACTTTCCATATTGAAGCCGACGTGAACCTAAACAATACATCATTATTTATACAGTTATTTACAACTAATAAAAAAATATTTATATTTAATTTCCAAATATATTTAATAGAACTACGATAAATTCATTTGCCTTGTCTGTCCGATTGGCTTACCCTATCCCTAATATGGTTCAGCATACGAAAACCCTTATACTAAGAAGTTTGGCCACACGATTGTCTATCATATAAAACCCTATTTAGTACGAAATTTATTTTGCTATTCAGAAGCAAATTTGCAAAAAACAGACGGAGCACTTGCTCCGAATGCGAAGATGTGATCCGCATGGGAGTGTTGCAAAGTTCTTTGCAATCATCGAAGGATACGGATAAAGAAGAATGTGATCTAGGTATACTCATATTTGGGTGTTTTCAATACAACTAATTCGCACTGAAACGAATATATGGAAATAGGGCTACCACTGATATTCCGATAAATACAATATTTGTAGATGTAGATCCACAGGTTTGCTCTTGGCCAGAAGAAGAAGTTGCTTTTTTGTCAAGTCGTGTCAAGACGTTTGCTGAAACGAGTCAAGTTTAATATATATAGTATTAAAGTAATTCCAAACCCTTCAACAAAAACTCTGAATTGTCACTGTATTTTATTTGAAATATTACTATTTCTTTTTGCCAGAAGTTTCTGCGAAGCTCAATAGAGGACAAAGTGTTTATGAAGATTATAGGAAAAATCGAAATGATGATAGATCGGAAGTAAAGAATGTAAATGACAAGATGCGAACAAAAGGTTAGTAATATACAACGTTGTTTCAATTAATTGCATATTTGTTCATCAAACAGTTCCTTTTTTCAATAAATCTGTAGTCTGTCCGCTACCGAATTCCGATACATTCACAAGTACGTCTACGGCATAAATCCCCGATTTCTACTTCACTTCTTCTACTTCAAGTGTGGTATTTGTAAATGATTTGGTGCTGTGAAGTATTCCCTAAGTAAAAATATGAATGGAGAAATCTTAGACATTTTAAATTTATGATACTTGGTGCTATATAATGAAGATCCTTAAAGACATAGAACTGGGGTAGTCCCCCCATTTTCCCGATCCCCGGTTTACTGTGGAACCGAATGTGTCTGTCTTTTAATCCGCACCTAGAGAATCGTTAGACAAATACAGAATTTTCAATCAGTTGCCTTATCCCCTTTTTTCAACATTAGTCTCAAATTTCTTCTATTCATATTAATTATGATCTAGACAAATATATATGGCAAATTGTTGCGTGGCATTACATCGGAGTATTAGAACTATAAAACAATACCTATACCGTACTAAAATATTATGCACAATTTTTCAAAAATAGCCTCATCATTCTTCTATAAATAATTTTGCGTGTCTTACGACTTGCGTGTCTTACGTTAAAACGTGATGAGTTTCAAGTAAAGTAAACTGAGGATATCTGACCACCGTTTATGTGATGTCTTTTATTTGCACTACCAAAAATTTTTGATTGCATGACATTCAATATTATATTAATATCATAGCACAATTGATTTTTAATGAACGTATTTGGTTCCATTACAATATAAGAAACATATTGATATTAGATATAGATAATTCATATCTATGTTAATGAGAATATAAATTTAAAAAAATTAGCTTAGCCCAAATGTAAAATCGTTGGGGGACACAGGATAAACGGCACTCTTATTATTTAGAACACGCTTTAATGATCTCCTGTAGATTCGTTTTAATGTCTCATTTATACAGATATCGGAAACGATATAAAACATGACCCATATGAAGATTTTCGACATCAAATGACTGACACTGCCAACATTTTAGGAGCAGACCAAGGTATACATGGCAAGCTTTTTAAATACTATATATAGATATATATATACAATGTTATCATCACATGATGTCACAAAATATTCTTACGGCCTTTGTTAACGGCACAACCAAATGCCCACTCCCCGGGTAATGCGCTCTGGGTCTCGCTACAGTTCATATTATTTTTAGTTGATAAACTAGATCGGGTTTACTTTACTTTAAGTAAAATTTCAAATCGGCCGCGATTCTAAAAATTTATTTTATTCTAATGTCAATATTTCGAACTTGTTAAACTTCATACACATTGTAATAAGCAGAAGTATATAGAAACCAGAATATATGTTTACAAAGCAGAATAAAAACAACGATACAAAGGATCCCTGTCAAAAACGAAGATTCAAACATACATACAATCAATGACACGCTGGGAACTGTAACTTCCTGGTGTAGGCCGGAATGTATCTGGGTTATCATATAGCAGTACAATGTAGCGTTGTGCTTGACTGTATAATTTATATAAAGTCATGGGATTTGAACTTGAGAATGTATTTTCGGTGCCAACGTAGCTAAGTCCAATAACATATTAAAATATTTTCATTTCTTCCATATTTACACAGTCTATTACATAAAATGTTCGAGGGCTAGTAAAAAATGCTATAGAATTAGAAAATGTATGAAAAGTTGGCTTTTAAGTGAGGTTGATGAAAATCTGTGTTTTAATTATTATAGGATTAAAGAAAATAGCACATGAAGAAGAAGGCAGTAAAGAATTGAGTTTGAATAACATTCGCTCCCATCTTGAATTAATTGAAATTTCTTTAAACGAAGAAAGTGAAACGGATGCCAATGAATACATTGAACAGTTAAACGAAATTATTACGTCACCCAACTCTCCTAAACTTGATGACATCATCAAAATGGTGGACAATTTCATTCTTGATTCTTTTTATGCCAGTACTTTATTTCTCCTTGCTCGTATATCCGAGTTGTATAAAGATGATTCGAACTCCGACAGCGCTGCTCGGAGTATTGGTGACTGCTCATACCAATGTACTTATATTATCAACTCCAATGTGACGCGTGATGGAAAATTCCTCGATTTCGTAAAAAGCAAAGGAATTGGTATTATACAACAGATAGTAGAAGATCTACGCGGCATTGAAGGTGATACGCCCGTAAAAACCTTACAAGAGGCCAGGTGTTTAAATAACATAGGCGTAGTATTCGGTGATATAGGCGAATACGAGAAAGAATTCAAATTTTATTGGAAGGGAAAAACAATTTTGGAGGATAAGTTCAATAGCAATGCTCCGAATTACGTGTTTTATGGAGATTTGCTAAATAACCTCGGCACTTCACAGTATAAATATGACAAATTTGGAAATGCTATAAGATATTATTTAGCGGCCTATCAAGCATTTACAAAACGCACTAACGATTGGGATGACGAAATTCAGAAATCGAAATTTATAGAAATCGTAACGAAGAACCTGCAAACGGCTCTAAATAAATACAAGGAAATGAAAAAAAAAGTGGAAATGGAAAATGAAAAATAATGCTGAGATTATCGGATGGCAAAAAGATTATGGGGGACACGGTAGCCTTATTATTAGAAAACAATTATTGATTTCCATATCATAAGGGTAGCTTATGACTTCATAAGTTAAAGTTATATTATTTCTTAATATTTTCTTTTTCCTAAAAGTTGATAGACGCTTGTGAAAATCCTGAAGATTGCACTACGCTGTGTTTGTATATATTTTTAAGATGTTGCTTTGAGAAACTTATGCAAAGCATATAAAGTTGCAGGGTAATTACTTTTTACATTGGGCATTTTCAAAATATAGATGTTTATATATGTATAGATAAATATTATTTTATTCTTGATTTTGAGAGAAACTGACCACAGGACTCTAAAGTCTAAAACAGTGGTTCTTAAACTAGGGGGGCGGGAAATGCTTTCAGGGAGGGGTGGGGGGGGGGGGGAGAGAGGTCACAAGAGGGAATCGAAAATATCTATGCAACGTCTCCTGAGACGGTCTTCGGTTCGGTAAAAATGCCTGCTTTTTCACGGTATAATACCCCTTTTTTGTCCCGCAATATTCAATCTATGATAACTACAAGAATTCGACATGTCTCTCTATTTTACTTCATATGTGTTCAAGGTAGCTCGCGGTTGCCGCGACTCATGACAAAATAAACTCATTACAGATCTAAAATACCACGTCAATCCCTGGACATAAGGATGTGAGATTAATTGCCCGACAATATTTAGTTTTGATATATATTGCGATCATGCAGATTCATTATCGTCGTTAGAAAGATCTAGTATAAAATCTCAGAAAGTATATATATTCAATTTAGTACAATGAAAATACATATAAAGTATATTAGTAAATCAGAAATACATATTCATCGCCCCATAACACCCGCGGTACGGCTCCTGGGTCAGTTGTTGAGATTACACCACTCGTTAAAATTGCGGACTTTTTTATTTGATAGGTACTGGTTTTCCTGTTGAATAAAACATTCAATCCATGGTCGATATAAATATTCGAAATAATTGCTGTATCCACACTACATGTGTGCAGCGGGAACAAGGAATATACGAGATTTGCCATGTCTAAGAAAGTGTTTTTGAGCTGTTGCGTTCCATCCCATAAGTAAACCCGTTGGTGTTTTTCGTTCTAGTTTTAGTATTTTATAATGCCGCTTTTTCCATCAAAAAATTTTTGGTTGTGGATTCACTTCTTTCTTCTATTTTTAGCATCCCGTCGCTGATGATTATATATAAAAAAAACTCGTTTTCCCTACAGGTGTCATGGTTCCATGCGAGAACGCAAAAACTAATTTACGACCTGGTGGTTGTCCAAAGGTATTGGTAGTGAATTTTAAAGACGTTAGGCAAGCCAAGAAGTCTGTAATTGTTGTGTAATTTTAAAACACAGTAATTATTTTTGCATTGCTCAATAGTGAAGTAAACGATCGAAATTTTACATTTCGTAAAGGTATATGCAGAAAATACCTTAAAGCGCAAAGAGCATACGTTTATTGCGTGTTTAATTTTAGGTAAAACTTAAGTTGACTTTACCATCTATTGCAAAATGAGCGGCATAAAGAGAATGTATGATGACAAATATTTGTGTATGGTTTCATACATACGACAGTGAAAGGCGGAATGAACCCCGATGCGTTTTATGCCTAAACAAACTGAGAAATGACGCTATGAGACCACATTCTTACAGCGCCATCTTATTATAAAGCAACCTGCCCATTACAAAAACATTTTTCCAAAGCAAAAAAGGGGGGAGGGGGCGAAGTGGCGAAGTTCATAAAATTTTTCAAAGGGGGGTGCGGCTCAAAAAGTTTAAGAACCACTGGTCTAAAATATCATCAGAACTTCCGCACATCTTGGACAATTTACTTTGCACCTTAATATTGCACGATAGAATGACCTCAAATTTTATATTCGATTGCATAGATAACTAGCAGGTACGGTAACTTGTCTCTAAAAAATACATATATACATACTAGAGATGAACGAATATCATTTTGCTGATACAGTGAGAAGAATGTCTTTACAGCTAATATTACCGTGTGATATTGACAAAGAATGGAGATTTCGGAGACCACCTGCAATCGCTGCAAAATGTTCTTACTGATATCAATCAATGTGATTTTTACAAATAATTCCACCCATAAATCACAAACCAACCTTCTTAAATGAATTTGGAACGATATAGTCTAAGTTGCTGCTGCTTTTACATTTACGAGTAAGGATGAATAAATGTCGCCAGTCTCCATTTTAATATTCTCCCCTTCAAAGCCAATATCTGGCTACCATACATGAACACAAACGGCTTTAAAGACTCTAAGAGACCCGTTCATAAGTCGACTCAGCTGACGGAAGATCTTTTTTGACCTCAATTGTTGTCAAGGATAAGTCGATTTTAGTTTCAACCATAAAATAGTAGGCGGTGTCACGAGCAGTACCATTTGCAAAATTTGACAGTTGCGATCCGGTAAAAGTTGAGATAACATTTGAATGATTTCTCGTTCTGCTATTCCGCAAGGCAGATTGTAAGTCTGTTGAACAATCTACAAGTTCGCTTACAATATATACAGAGTCTATAGAAAAATAGGAGAAATTAAAACTCATATGATTTTATCCGATTTACAACAACAACAACAACCTATGAAAAACAGACCTCTTTCCAAACAACATCCAATAAATTTTACGAAGTTCATGTACAAGTCTTCACATTGAGAACTTCTCTCATTGCTTCAATGTCATTGCATAGTTGATTTACGTAGGTATAATCCTGATAGAAAAAAAATTCGACAAATACATTTATCTGTATTATATTTGTTGTCTCAATAACGCAGCAAGTGAAGTAGAATGTAAATTTCATGAAAGACACTTAACAATTCCGATCTCCATTTATTTTGCTGTTTAGAGTGAGAATAGCATATTATGCACAGCAGGTGATCATGTTCGCACCATTTACCACAGTCTCGGATTTGTTCCAGTAACGTTAGCTTCCCTACTTCCTAGCTCAATATATGTTCATGAAGCACTTTGTTTTCTCCATCTTTGACATCTCAATTATCCATCTACACGATATTTTCTGTCCATGACTCGTTACATCCTCTTCAATAGATAGCTGACTATAACTGATATCAACCTATAATGTAATAGAAAATGATTGACTGAATAATCTCAGTATGTCTCTGTTCTCGACCAAAAATTTTTCTCACCTTAACGTTAAATTTGCCATATTCTATTGCAGGCACCAAGGATGAAATTCCCGACTTTTCTTATTCTCCTTAAAGAAAAAGTTTTTGTGATAATATTCATTATAGGCAAACATATAGAGTACTTCATCATCGATATTTACTAGAACTATTTTACACGAACAGGAATGAATGAAAGAGTTAATAATTCTGCGAAAAACAGGCGAATTGTGTGAGCGAAGATAAAACTGATGGTTATTTAGTCAAAATGGTATAAAATGCATTTATACTAAATTGTAATGTTTTCGTAGCATCGTTTCAAGTTCGAATTTAATTTTGTTTGTTGAGTATTTGTAAATAAAAATTAAATCAACTTACTTGCTACATTGAACGAATCCAGGGGTGCAATCGAGGGAGAGTCGTTCATAGTTTTATAAGATTTCTTTTTGTCTTCTCCGAACATTTTGATGCCGTTTGCTGTGTTATGCCATTATCGTGTGAAAACTGTGAAGATCTCATTTCATTTCTCCGATTTATTTTATTCTTGACAGAGAGACATCATTATAAGAGCAAAGACCCTACTCATGTAATAAAGCGTAGTTCTTCAAAACAGTTCAAGTTAATCTACCGTGGGTGCAAACCCACTTACCTTAATATTAGCGAACAAATCCACAACGTTGTCTCCTGGAAGCTTTTTGAGAATAAGATGACCAGTATCTGAGTCAATAAGTAAGTACTTAGTTGAGTTTAGGTTGTAGTCAGGCACTGGAAGTAACTCGTATCCAATTGTTTTGCAAATCGCTAAATTAACATCTGGATCTATAGCTAAAATCGGACCTGGCTCTACCTCGCTGATGACATTTTTCTGTTATATAAAAATTTAATTGTTAACTCATATGGTACTTTTTGTATATATATTTCTAAATATCGTAATAATTAATAAATGTTCTTCTTTTTACAATAGACACAATATAATTTTAGAAAAAACACAAGTATATATTAATCTTAAATTCAATTAAAGTGAAGTTATATATAAGCATGATGACTTATTGGAGAATGGACCAAATGAAAAATGCATGTATGGGTGAGAAAAAACAATTAAGTATTAAAAATATGCAGCTTGATAGCATAAAGATTATTTTATACATTCCCCATTATTGTTGTAAACAGCGTTTCAAATAGTTTCGAACTTTTTATTCTTAATTCAATTATAAACACATTTAGAACTCTTAGAAATCTGGTTTGTGAAACAATAGTAATTTCTCGAGTCGAGACAAAATGAAATGACCAAGGTTTAAACATTCGTGGCGGAAGAAATCATACTTAATGCTTCGCACGGCCAAAAGCAAAAGTAACTTCTGGTAGGATGTGTTATGTGAAGTACAAACTGTCTGCTTGATATAACCCTAATCAAGCCCCCAAAGTAAAAGAATTGCGTTCGTACTCAAGTAAGGTAAAAAGATACTGAGGAATCGAAATAAAAAAACATATAAAACTCATTCAAAGTTATATACTACTTTATTTCCAAAATAGTACTTATTTAACATTTACTGATTATGCGTTTAAACGTGACATGGTTTGCTGAATCCGTTCGCTCAATAAAATACCAGTTCTAAAGATCAAACTATTTTTCAAACTTACAGCCAAGCATGCATAAACAACACACCTTCGTTTCTTAGTACAGTAAACCGACCAAAATTTTAATCTTTATGATTTTTTTTTGTGAACGTGAAACGGTAAATGCACCAGTACAAGGAACTGAAAACCACTTGAAATATTGTTGAAAAACATGCATTGCTCATAGAGCTTATGTATGATTTAGATAATTTTTGTTGAATATTTCAATTTATTCTTTGAATTATAGTTTCTTTCTCCTTTCTCGTGTTTGGGTCATATCTTATGTAAAGTTATTATGCTTCATTTTTTGAGTTGGAGTTTCTTTCAGATGTAGGGCACAAGCAACAATTGTATGCCTATATAAATTTCCTATTAGCACACGTTCTATTGTTAAACAAGTCTTTGCGTCAAAACATCAAAGACGAATATTGTATGTGAATCAAGAGCAAACTAGCACACAAATATTTCCCTCTGAAAGCTGATATAATATTTTTCTGGCGA